CTTCCTTCCCTCCAATCCTTCCTTCCTTCCCTCCTTCCTTCCTTCCCTCCTTCCTTCCCTCCCTCCTTCCTTCCTTCCCTCCAATCCTTCCTTCCTTCCCCTCAATCCTTCCTTCCTTCCTTCCTTCCTGCCTTCCCTCTTTCCTTCCTTCCTTCCCTCCTTCCTTCCTTCCTTCCTTCCTTCCCCTCAATCCTTCCTTCCTTCCCTCCTTCCTTCCTTCCCTCCTTCCCTCCTTCCTTCCTTCCTTCCTTCCCTCCTTCCTTCCTTCCCTCTTTCCTTCCTTCCTTCCTTCCCTCCTTCCTTCCTTCCTTCTCTCCTTCCTTCCTTCCCTCCTTCCTTCCTTCCTTCCCTCCTTCCTTCCCTCCTTCCTTCCTTCCCTCCTTCCTTCCCTCCTTCCTTCCTTCCCTCCTTCCTTCCCTCCTTCCTTCCTTCCTTCCTTCCTTCCTTCCTTCCTTCCTTCCTTCCCTCCTTCCTTCCTTCCTTCCTTCCTTCCCTCCTTCCCTCCTTCCTTCCCTCCTTCCTTCCTTCCCTCCTTCCTTCCTTCCTTCCCTCCTTCCCTCCTTCCTTCCATCCTTCCTTTCTTCCTTCCCTCCTTCCTTCCTTCCTTCCCTCCTTCCTTCCTTCCTTCCTTCCTTCCCCCCATGTCAGTTAGGCCGCACGCTCACCGCAGGACATCTGCACATCTGTGTGTCCGTCTGGCCGGGGGGGTGAATCTGGCAGCTGCGTCCGTCCGTCCGTCCGTCCGTCTGTCTGTCCGTCCGTCCATCTGGGCGGGGCGGCCGTCCAGGGCGGGGTCCCCGGCCTCTTCCCCTTTTTCGTTTCTCCTAAAATCCCGGGGTGCTTTTGGTTTTTTTCCCCTCTTCTTCCTCATTTGGCGATGGGGAAACTGAGGTCGTGGGTGGGGGGTGGGGGGAGGGGTGTGTGATGTCCCCCCCCACCCCCGCTCCCCGGAACGTTCTGGAAGGCTGGGCGTCGTGGGGGTGCTGGGCGCACAGTCCTCCTCTAGGGTGCTGGGTGCTGAGTCCTCTCCTCGGTTCCTTCCCCCCCCACACACAGGTGACGGATGGGTGTGACCTTCGACCTTTGCCCCCCTCCCCACAGGGCTGGGCTGTGACCCCCCACCCCCTCCCTCAGGCCTGTGTGCATCGGAGTCTCCCGGACGGACGGACGGAGTGAGGGACAGACAGACAGAGGCATGAGAGACAGAGGGACAGATGGACAGACGGACAGACGGACAGAAGGACAGACAGAGGGACAGACAGAGGGACAGACAGACAGAGGGACAGACAGACAGAGGGACAGACAGACAGAAGGACAGACAGAGGGACAGACAGAGGGACAGACAGACAGAGGGAGAGACAGACAGAGGGACAGACAGACGGACAGAGGGTCAGACAGAAGGACAGACAGACAGACGGACAGACAGACAGAGGGACAGACAGACAGACAGAGGGACAGACAGACAGACAGACAGACGGACAGACAGACAGAGGGACAGACATGACAGACAGACAGACAGACAGACAGAGGGACAGACAGACAGAGGGACAGACAGACAGACAGAGGGACAGACAGACAGACAGGGGGACAGACAGACAGACAGAGGGACAGACAGAGGGACAGACAGACAGAGGCATGAAAGACAGAGGGACAGACGGATGGGCCGAAGTTCAGGTGGACGGACAGGGAGACGGACGGGACAAAGAAACAAAAGGACAGACAGACAGATGAACAGATGGACAGACAGAGGGACAGACAGACAGAGGGACAGACAGACAGAGGGACAGACAGACAGACAGAGGGACAGACAGACAGACTGAGGGACAGACAGACAGACTGACAGACAGAGGGACAGACAGACGGACGGACAGACAGACAGACGGACAGACAGACAGAGGGACAGACAGACAGGGGGGACAGGGGGACAGACAGACAGACAGGGGGACAGACAGACAGACAGACAGGGGGACAGACAGACAGACAGAAGGACAGACAGACAGAGGGACAGACAGACAGACGGACAGACAGACAGACAGAGGGACAGACAGACAGACAGACAGACAGAGGGAAAGACAGACAGAAGGACAGACAGACAGATGGACAGACAGACAGGGGGACAGCGGGGGCTGGTGTCTGGGACTCGATCGTGTTGGATGTCTTGTGATGTCACAGTCTGGTGACTCTGGCGACCTCTGACCTGCCCTGCCACCTGCTGGCCGCACCCCGAAATGCCGGGGGGGACACGGCCGTCCGTCCGTCCGTCCGTGTGTCCGTCTTTCTCAGGGTCCATGTGTGTGTGTCTGTCTGTCTGTCTGTCTGTCTCTCTGTCCACCAGTCTGTCTGTCTCTCTTTCTTCATGTCTGTCTGTCTGTGTCTGTCTGTGTGTGTCTGTCTGTCTGTCCGTACCTCTGTGTGTCTGTCTCTGTGTCTGTCTGTCCCTCTGTCTGTCCGTCCGTCTTTCTCCCTGTCTGTCCGTCTGTTTATCTGTCTCTGTCTGTCTGTCCGTCCATCCGTCCCTCTGTCTGTCTGTCTCTCTGTCCATCTGTCTATCTTTCTCCCTGTCGGTCTGTCCATTTATCTGTCCATCTGTCTCTCCTTGTGTCTGTCTGTCTGTCTGTCTGTCCCTCTGTCTGTCTGTCCATCCATCTGTCCCTCTGTCTTTCTGTCTGTCCCTGTCTCTGTGTCTGTCCATCCATCCATCTTTCTGTCTGTCTGTCCCTCTATCTCATCCGTCTGTCTGTCTTTCTCCCTGTCTATCTGTCCATTTATCTGTCCATCGGTCTCTCCTTGTGTCTGTCTGTCCATCCGTCTGTCTGTCTCTGTGTCTGTCTATCTCTGTCTGTCTGTCCATCCATCTGTCCCTCTGTCTGTCTGTCCCTGTCTGTCTCTGTGTCTGTCCGTCCATCCGTCTTTCTCCCTGTCTGTCTGTCTGTCCTTCTGTCTCTGTCTGTCCGTCAGTCTATGTGTCTCTCTGTCCATCCATCTGTTTGTCTTTCTCCCTGTCTGTCCATTTGTCTGTCCGTCTGTCTCTCCCTGTGTCTGTTTGTCCCTCTGTCTGTCTGTCCGTCCATCCGTCTATCTGTCTGTCTGTCTGTCTGTCCCCCTGTCTCATCTCTCTGTCCATCTGTCTGTCTGTCTGTCTGTCTCTCTCCCTGTCTGTCCATTTGTCTGTCTGTCTGTCTGTCTGGGTCTCTGAATCTGTCTGTATGTTTCTGTCTCTCGGTATCTGTCTGTCTGTCCATCCATCTGTCCCTCTGTCTGTCTCTCCGTCCATCTGTCCGTCCACCTGTCTGTCTGTCCATTTATCTGTCCATCTGTCTGTCCATCGGTCTCTCCTTGTGTCTGTCTGTCTGTCCCTCCGTCTGTCTCTCTGTATCTGTCTGTCCATCCCTCTGTCTGTCCGTCTGTCTCTCAGTGTCTGTCCGTCCATCCATCTCTCTGTCTTTCTGTTTATCTGTCCGTTTCTCTGTCTGTCTCTCTGTCCATCCATCTGTCTATCTGTCTCTGGGTCTGTCTGTCTGTCTGTCCGTCGACGCTCGGTCTATCTCTCTGTCCACCTGGCTGTCTATCTGCTTCTCATGTCCGTCCCTCTGTCTGTCCTGTCTTGGTCATCCGTCCATATCCCTGGTCTGTCTGTCTGTCTGTCCCTCGGCCTCTGCATCTGTCTGTCTGTCTGTCTACAGGTCTGTCTGTGTCAGGGCTCTGGGCCATGCGTGTGTCCATCTGTCTGTGTGTTTGCGTGTCATCTGTCTGTCCGTCTGTCTCTCCCTATGTCTCTCTGTCTGTCTTCGTCTCTGAGTCTGTCTGTCTGTCTGGGTCTCTGAGTCTGTCTGTCTGTCCATCCATCTGTCCCTCTGTCTGTCTGTCTCTCTGTGTCTGTCCGTTCATCCATCTGTCTGTCTCTGAGTCTGTCTGTCTGCCTGTGTCTGTCTCTTTCTGTCTGTCTGTCTGTCTCTCTCTGTCTGTCCATCCCTCTGTCTGTCTGTAACTCTGAATGTCCCTCTATCAGTCCGTCTGTCACCCTGCTGTCCCTCTGTTTGTCTCTCTGTCCATCTGTCTGTCTGTGTTTCTCCCTCTCTGCCTGTCTGTCTGTCTCTCCGTGTCTGTCTGTCCGTCCGGGCCAGGCCCGTGTCACGCGGCGGGGCCCTTCCCTCCACCCCACCCCCTCCCTCCGCGGCCTCCTCCGTATCGGCCGCCCGGCATCTCCGACTCGGTTTCCTGCATCTGTGTTTCCCCTCCCCTCCCCCGCTTCCTCCTCCCCTGCAGGACAGCCAGACACACGGACGGACGGACGGACGGTGGCCTGGGCCCCGACGCGCCAGCCCCGTCCCCCCATCCATCCACCCATCCATCCACCCATCCATCCATCCATCCACCCATCCATCCATCCATCCACCCATCCATCCACCCATCCATCCATCCATCCATCCACCCACCCATCCATCCACCCATCCATCCACCCATCCATCCATCCATCCATCCATCCATCCATCCATCCATCCATCCACATCCATCCACCCATCCATCCATCCATCCACCCATCCATCCATCCATCCTTCCACCGATCGATCCATCCATCCATCCATCCACCCATCCATCCACCCATCCACCCATCCACCCATCCATCCACCCATCCACCCATCCATCCATCCATCCATCCACCCATCCATCCACCCATCCATCCATCCATCCTTCCACCCATCCATCCATCCATCCTTCCACCCATCCATCCATCCATCCACCCACCCATCCACCCATCCATCCACCCACCCACCCATCCATCCATCCATCCATCCATCCATCCATTCATCCATCCATCCATCCATCCATCCACCCACCCACCCATCCATCCATCCATCCACCCACCCATCCACCCATCCATCCATCCACCCATCCATCCATTCATCCATCCATCCACCCATCCATCCACCCACCCATCCATCCATCCATCCATCCATCCACCCATCCATCCATCCACCCACCCATCCACCCATCCATCCATCCATCCGTCCATCCATCCATCCATGAGCCTCCGGGGCCGGCAGCCGGGGCCCTGGGCCGCCCTGGCCTCCACCCTGATGCTCCTCCCAACAGTGCTCGGGTCTGCCGGGGAGGAAGACAGAGGTGAGGAGGGAGGCCCAGGGTGTCTGTCTGTCTGTCTGACTCCCTGGTGTCTGTCTGTCTGTTTCCCTGGGTGTCTGTCTGTCCATCTCCCTGGTGTCTGTCTGTCTGTCCATCTGTTTCCCTGGTGTCTGTCTATCCATCTCCCTGGTGTCTGTCTGTCTGTCTGTGTCCCTGGTGTCTGTCTGTCTGTCTGTGTCCCTGGTGTCTGTCTGTCTGTCTGTTTCCCTGCTATCTATCTGTCTGTCCGTTTGTCTCCCTGATGTCTGTCTGTCCATCTCCCTGGTGTCTGTCTCTCTGTCACCCTCATGTCTGTCTGTCTCCCTGATGTTTGTCTGTCTGTCTGTCTCCCTGGTGTCTGTCTGTGTGTCTGTCTGTCTCCCTGTCTGTCTCCCTGGTGTCTGTGTGTCTGTCTGTCTGTCTCCCTGTCTGTTTCCCTGATGTCTGTCTGTCTGTTTCCCTGGTGTCTGTCTGTCTGTCTCCCTGATGTTTGTCTGTCTGTCTGTCTCCCTGGTGTCTGTCTGTGTGTCTGTCTGTCTCCCTGGTGTCTGTCTGTGTGTCTGTCTGTCTCCCTGGTGTCTGTGTGTCTGTCTGTCTCCCTGTCTGTTTCCCTGGTGTCTGTCTGTCTGTTTCCCTGGTGTCTGTCTGTCCATCTGTGTCTCTCTCCAAGGCATTCCCGGTGCTGGTGGGCATCCGTCCGTCCGTCCGTCCGTCCGACTCACGCCCCCCCCCCCGCCGGTGCCCCCCAATCTTTCTCCTCCCTTCAGATGCCTCGGCCTTCCCCTCCCCCTCCCCATCCCCCCACCTTCCTTTCCAGAAACTTCCTCCCCCTCCTCTTCCTCTATCTACAGTCAACATCATCCCCCACCCAGGCCTCTACTTCCCCTTTTCTCTCTCGGGGCGGCGTGGGCTGAGATCTGATAATAGCACAGGATGTGCGTCACCCCGGCCTCCCCCAAAATCCCCTCCCGGAATCTTCCGGAACTCCCAACGCCAGGGGGGTTGGGCCAGGGAGGACTGGGGAAGGCCTGGGGGTCGGAGGCCGGGGGGTGGGGGTCAGAGGCCTCATGCCCACCCATCATTCCCCCCCTCCCACTCCCTGGGGCCTCCAACCTGGGCCAGGCCTGCGTCTGCTCTGCCTTGACCTCCACACGGTGCTGGTGACCTGGGACCATGGCGGCCATGACAACCTCAGCCTCCACTACAGGTGCGGCGGGGGACAAGGGGAGGGCAGCATCTGTCTACCCACCCACCCATCCACCCATCCACCCACCCATCCACCCAT